TAGGTTTTTTATTTATCACAGGATTGACAACGAGAATAATTTGTGTTATATGTGAGTTAGACCGCAATACTATATGAATGTCGTTATAAATGTAGTGTGTCTGTGTTTATTATTATTAATTCCAAAATAATTTTATTGCTGAAAATTCTGTTATACATTAAAAAAAAAAGAATTTTAGTTAAGGAATATGAATAAAAATGTGTAGGGATTGCAATACAATACCAATGTATAAGTAAAATTAAAAGAACAATTGAAATACAAGTAAAATAAAATTAGTTTATAAAAAAATTTATTCATTGTTCTTTATATTTTTCTCATTATATTTAATTTTTTACTTTTTACTTTAGTTATCTAATTCATTAATTTTCATTATATACTTATATTTATGTAAGTATATATATAATTTTGTAGAATAGTATAGTATACGAAAATAATTAATTCAAAATAAGTTAGAGAAATTTAATTTAATTTTTTTGTCTCGAATTTGTATGTGCGTATTTAGAACCTCTATAGACTGTGAATATATTCTCTATTCTATATAAAAATTCTATATAATGCGACTCTATATAAAAATTGAATTAGTTCTTCAATATGATTTCATTTTAAATTTATTGAATTATTGCAAAACCATATTGAATTAAAATTGAAATTAAATTAAAATATCGCAAATATAAAAATAAAATGAATGGAAAAAGAATAATAAAAAAATTATTTGGCCTCTGTTTCTCTTTTAATATTATTTTTTTTTTTTATTCACAAAATTAAATTAAGCATCTTGAGAAAAGGAAGAATGTTTTTGAATAAAATAATTTTTTTTTTTTTAATTCATTAACTTAAAAGTTTATTTTAATTGCTTTATAAAATTTTGTTTTCAATAACAATACAAATTTATTATACTGTTATACGAACAAACCACTATAATACTTAACAAGTAAAGTGCTATGATACTTTGAAATACAATTAAACGAATTTTATTTTGTTTTAGGAGACAAAGTTTTGTTTGTTCATATTATATTTTCATACCCTATGTAATATATAAGAAGGGTATATAAAATTGAAGAAGAAAACGTTCACGACCCTGGAAAGTTAGATATAATTTTGCTCAGACTCACAATTTAAGACAAGTTAGCTATGTCCGTTCTTTCATTCGTCTGCTGTTGAAGCGCTCATTTGAGAATGCAAAGAGCTGGGGACTTGAAATTCGGTACAGATGCGCATACGATTCCAAATCTGGTTATGTGGCGCATCGTTCAAAAAGTCTCCAAAATCTTTACAACATTTTTTGGAGAACTTTTTGCTAAACATCGGTTAAGTTCTCGTCGGTAAGGTCTTGGGAAAGGTTTTTTAAGAAAATTAGTTCAATATGGTTATGTTGCATATTTTCGCCAAAATTTTGAAAAACTCTACAAAAAATTTTCTCCAAATTTAAAACAGTTTAATATGCTATTTTGGTAAAGATCAAAATCAACATTTTTACTTGATTCAAATTTTACAATAAAATGTCAATAGGATCTTGTTTTTTTATTTGATTTTTTAGTGTTTCAAAATTTTGTAAATTGAAAATTTTCTTAAAATGTTTTGAAAAGGCTTAAGCTTTTTTTATAATTCGTCAATCAGAGATAAAATTTAATTAATTTATCCAAAAATTTTCGATAATTTCAAATTTGAGAAAAAATATTTTTTAGTTTAATTTGGTCCGTTAACGAAATCAATCTTCATTTACATATGCCGTCGATACGTTGAAAAACTGAAAATCAAAGAAAAATACGCATAAGCAAATATATTGAAATTTCAAAATTTTGCTGTATCTCTCTTCAGCTAGAAATTACAGGACTTTTCTCCGAAAAAGTCCGTTTTTTCTTCAGCTTATCTCAAGTAAATTCAGTTTTTGTTATTTCTCAGTTCAGTTATTTCTTTTAAGTTTGCAATATCATAACTGAGTTTCTAAAAAAAGGAAGAACGTTTAAATTATAACTGTTATACAATTTAATTTAACTGTTATACAATTCTATTTTTTAAATATAGTTTTAATATTTCTTCTTATTTCAAATGAATATGCAACAATATTCCTAATACTTTTATAAATTAAACTTTTGCTAAATAATAATTATAAGACACCCTTTTCCATTTCTATATTTTTAATATATTTAATTTTATTTGTCAATTATTATACAAACGCTTTTAATTTATTTTATATAAATCTAATTTAATGCAATTTATATCAATAATTTTATTGGATATATGCAAATATTATTTTGAATGCATTTTTATTTAATAAAAATGATTTCCAAATATAACAATTTTCATGCATTGAAATAATATTATAATATAAAAAAGTAAAATATTTTTCAATATTTTTATCAATACACAGATAAGTAAATTTATTTAATGAATTTGTAATTAGTGATTTCAATTTCCTAGGGTATAATTACACCACAGTATTATTGAAACTTTGAATTAAATTAATTAAAATGCAATATAATAAATCAATTAAGTGTTATACACTATACAATGTTTGATTTATTTAATAAAAAATAAAATTAAATTATCAATAGAAAATAAAATTATATGAATTGGGTCAGAAAATTAAATGGAATCGATATTAGATCCTAATTTTGATGCAGACCAATAAAAAATTATGTATAGAGTAGGGTAACAGGGCAATTTTAAATAGTTGATAATATTGGATTTTAAAAAGTTGAGAGAGCAAGACTTTTCTTTACTTCATACAAAAAAAAAATATTTTATTTAAATTGTTGAGAATTAAAAATTTTAACTGTTATATTTTATATAACAGTTTGCTTTACAAGTATTATTAGCCATCTTTATTTTAAAATATGAAATCTTATTTAATTTGTAGAATAAAATTGAAAAATTTTATGGAAAATTCCAGTAAAAACATTTTTTTTTGCTTACCATTGAAATTTTTACAAAGATATGAATGAAAGTACAAAAACAAAATACAAAAAAAATATTTCAAATTTTTTTTTTTAAATAAAACAGATTGTTTCAAAATGGTATGTAAGACTATAAAATTTTACATTTTTTATCCCTATTGTCTCCAATCCACAAAAAAAAAAAGAAAATGTGAATTATTATACAATGTTTAGTGTTCCAGAACGCTGTTACATTTAATAAGATTATATATTTTGTTGGACCCATTTTGTTTTAAAATAAAATGAAAATTTTAATTAATTGTTAAGAATTTTAATGCATCATTTATTGCGATACCATCCATGGATGTAATAAAATTTTCAAACATTTAAAAAAAGAAAAACTCTTACAATATTCAGTGTGACAAAAAATATTGTCATTATTGCTACTAGAATACTTAATCTTTCTATGATTCCTTAAAAATAATATGTAATTTATGAGTTTTGAATTTTATTCAGTTGATTATTTTTATTAAATTTCTAAACAAGTGTTTGAGTACTTAAAATTTTCAATATCTCCATTCCTTAGCATATTTAGCTATTTAGAGAATTTACTTTTAAATTGTTTAACTTTAAAATTGAAAAATATTGTAACCAATTATTTTTCAACCCATCAAATCCTAATTTTCTTCAATTTACTTGAATTATATGTAAAACTTCTTATTTGGAAAATAGAATAATAAAATATTTTGACTGGCCTATAATTGGTCAGGCTAACGAACAGTGTGATCATTATTTTTATTCATATTTTGAATTTTTTCTGTCATTCTAAAAGTATGCCATAAGGGATTAAGGTATGCAATGTGCAATTTTATTCCTTTTAGTTATTATTTATTCCCTTTTTTTGCGTTTTCGGGTCTTTATTAATGAAGATAAATGTGCTCATTCCATTCATCGAATTTTTCTTAAAATTATTTTTTAAAAAATTCTTTAAAGATTGCAAATTTTTTAAAGAGATTTTTCAAAATTTTTTTAAACATTTTCCAAAAATTTTTGTCTTATAATACTTTTTATTCTAATTATATGGTTGGATTATTATATATGTGTATATTTTATTCCAGAGCTTCAATTGTGTGAAAGGAAAAAGAGAAAGAAACTAATATTCTTATTAAAAACGAAAAGAAATTACTAATTAATATCATTTTTTTTACGATAAATGCGAAAGTATTCAAAATTTCAATTGAAATTTAATATGAAATAAATCAAAATTATATGAAAAGGTTTCGTTTCAAGAGTAATTTAAGCATCCATAATGTCATTTAATGAATATTATTAAAATTAAATGTTAAAAGATCATTTAACGCCCAAAAATATTTTCTTGTTTAAGAAAATTTTCCTAATAGAACATGACATTTAATAAAAAATTATTACGTCAACATTTTCAAATATTTTAAATTGAAGGTCAAATGAAAGTTTAGGCTTGAATTTTTGGTATAAGATTTCTATCTCCCACTTAATTGAAATTTAATCAACAAATAAAGGACATATTTTCTTTTCTTTGTATATGTTTTATTATTGTAAAAATTTTCTACGCTCACACGGAAGTATCATATTCTAATACACTGAGGTATAATAATTTTATACAGAATGACGAGATTCATGGTATTTCATTGTTGAAAATTGTATGATAAAATTTATTTTGAATTAAAATTATTATTTTGATTATAATTTGTTGAATTAATAATATTAATTGCAAAGTAAAGAATATTCAAATCACTTACCTATTTGAGGAACATCATACTGTCTTTGACCTCTAGTATTGCGTAACATTAATTGATTCGCAATACTATGTGAAACTGGTGATATATTTGATTGTAAGCCACCAACATTTCCAACATTTCTTTTATTTGTTTGTTGTAAATCTTTTTTTTGTTGTCTTTTTTGTTGTCTATTGTTATTATTATTATTATTATTATTACTATTATTGTTATTATTATTATTTCTTAATTTATTATTTTGATTTTGTTGTTTTTTATTATTTGAATTCAATTCTTTATTGTTATCCTTTTGAAATGATAATGTATCAGAATTTATAAATGAATCAATGCTACCATCATCATTATTTACCTGTTGATCTTTTTGCATTTTTTGTCGTTTTTGTTCATTTTGTTTTCCACCAGATTTACCATTTGTTATCTTTTTTAATTGCTGTTGTCTTTTTAATAATTCAAGTTTAATTTTTTCTTCTTTCTGTTTAATTCGATTATCTAATGCTGATGTTGTTGATGATCCTAAAGAACTTGATAATCTTCGATTTTTATAATCATCTTTTAAATCATATTCTTCATTCGATGATGATGATAATGAAGATGTCTGTTGATCTAATGATGCTAATTTTAATTGCAATGCATTTGTATTTAATTGTTTATCATTTGGTTTTTGTTTTTGTTGTTGCTGTTGAAACAATTCCTGCAGTGCTTTTGGTGGTTGTAATTGAAATTGATTATTATTATTATTATTTGTATTTGTATTTATATTGCTATTACTTAAGCTATTTTTATTATTACTATTATCATTGCTGTTCATTAAACCAATTTGACTGTTTCTGTTATTTGTATCATAAAATGGATTATTAAGATTTCCAGTGCCTGTAATTTTATTATTTTTATTATTTATTCTTATATTGGTATCAGAATTTTTGATAAATTTTTCTGTTGGGTCTGTATAACCACTATATATATCATCATTTAACATCATAAGACTATCGATATCATCAGAAGTTAAAACATTTTTACTATTACTGCTTTTTAAAATTCCATTACCATCATCAATATGTCTGTGACCAGTAATAGTAGTATCATCATCAATATTATCAACACCAATTCTAATATAATTTTCATTATCACCTAAACCGATTCCAGTAGAATCTCTACTATTACCATTATCAATAAAATCATTATTAATGGTGATACTGCTACTACTGATACCGCCACCTTCATCAACATTACCACGAATATTTAATGGTAATGATGGATGATGTTGTAATAAATGATGCATTGAAATTGGTAATAATTTTTCTTGATCATGTTGTGGCTCCTGTTCATGTTGTTGTTGTAATTGTTGTTGTTGTTGCTGTTGCATTTGTTTATATATTGGTATTGATTGTGTCCGATGACGATAATTTATTAAATTATTACGATAATCATATGGTGATGTTATTGTTGATGATGGTAATGACGAACCAGTAAATCTACCATTAAATTGATTATGGCTATTAAAGAATGATGATGTTGGTGGTAAATTATTATTATTATTATTATTTCTTCTATTTGATATTTGCTGCGTATGAAATATTTTTGGATGAAATTGCTGTTGTTGTTCTTGTTGCTGCTGTTGTAATTGCAACTGTTGTTGCTGTTGTTGCTGTTCTTGTTGTTGTTGCTGTTGTAGATTTAATGGTTGATACCGATGTAAATGTGGTAAATATTCACTATTTATTAGACCAAAATCATCATCATCATCATTTAATTCAATTGATTTAACTATACGATGCTGTTGCTGTTGTAATTGTGATCTTTTATTAGGTTGTCGATCACGTATTGATCTTGTCTGATGATATTGATCATTATGATAATGATGATGATCATTTAATAATGATGATGATGATGGTAGCTGTTGCCTTCGATATGAATTTAATGTTGATAATTCAACTGGTATTAACCTATTTTGATTCAAATGCAAAGAGCTTGTGCTCATTAAGAGCACTGTTAAGAACATTAAAATTTTTATGAGATTTTGTAACATGATTTGTTTGTTTTTTTTTTTTAATTATTTTTAATTAATTTAATATTTTATTATTAATTTTTTAATTTATTTATATTACGTTTATTTAATTAGTTGGTTAGTATAGAAATATAGCTTTATTTTTGTTTTTTTTTTTTTATTTTGTGCCTAACAATTTACAGGTGCAGATTTTATTATTTTTTTCTTTGTTCTTATGTTTTTATTAAGTTTTATATATAATTAATTTAAATAAAAAATAATATATAAGAATAACTATATTATAAAAGAGTATAAAAGAAAAAGATTTTTATACTATCGATTGCATGTAAAATATAAAGTGTTCAAAGTCACATACACACTTTTATATTTTTAGGGTATATACATATATATGTAATATAAAGAATGAAAATTAGTAAAAAATATTTTGTAGATAGTTTTGTAAAATTGTGTATTTTCGTAGGTTTTTTTTCTTTTTCAATGTTGTTATTCTTTTTTTTTGTAATTATTAATTTTGATTGTTAATATATGAGAAAAAAAAAATGTTCAAGACATTAACAAAATATACAAGATTTATTAGAGTATAAATTAAATATAACTATTCTTTTATTATAATATTAAAGATTAGGTAGATGATGTATTTATTAAATTAAGTTGGTAGTAATCCAGCCACCATCCAGGAATTAATTTTCCCATTTGAATTTTAATTCCAAAATACAAAAAAAAAAAAAAATGACAAGAGTTTGAAATTAAATTTTGTTTTTTAATTATTGGTTGTGTCTTAATTTCTCAATAGAGTCTTCAAATAAATTTTATATATTGTGCTTTTATTCTTGTTTTATTTTATTTTTTATGTTCTTATAAATTTTCTAAATAGAAAAAAAAAAAAAAACAATTTACACTTATTTTATAGAAATAGGCAATTTTTAAAAAAAAAAAAATTCAAAAGAAAATTAGAAATTAAATTTATAAATGTAGAGATATAAATTTTATATGCTGCTCCGGAAAGTATGCAATTTTATGCGCAATACAAATTTTGTATGAGAGAAAATTTTCTTATTTTTTTTGGATTATTTTTGTTTTTATCTTCTCAAATTTTCTTAAATTGAATTAAAAATATAATTAAGAAATTTTTTTCTTATGACAAGAAGAAAAAAAAAGAAAAGAGAATATTTTTTTTCTTGTATACCGTCGGTATTTTCTCTTCTCTGAAATTTATTCGAAATATGCAAAAAATTATTTTGGTTTTATAAAATTTTCTTTTAGTTTTTGTTATTAAATTTAATTTTTTATTATAATTATATTATGTTTGTTTTTTTTTTTTTTTTATATAATAGGAACCAAATTTTACTGTATTTTCACTGGGAAACTAATATAAATGATTGCTCTGTTTCGATATTTGGATTTTCTTTATTCTTTTTTTCGAATATAATTTTTGGACAATTCACGAAAATTTTTATTGTTTTTTTTTTGTTTCTTTTCTACTGAAAATTTTTGTATTCTGTTCTGATATTTTTCATTTATTTATGCTTGTTTTTTGTTTTTCGTTTTTGTTTTTTGGCAAATATTACTAAAAATTTTATAATTTATTTGTTCATATAGTTTCTTTCATATTGTTCTCATTTTGTCGCTTTAATATTATAAATGGATCCTTTTTCATATACGCTCTAGTTATGTTTTTCTAGTCTGGGAATTTTATTTAAAATGGAATAGTAATGATTTTATGACCGCATATAATCATGTTTAGAGATTTTTTTTAAAAAAAAAAAACAAATTTTTTTTTTTTAGTGTATGTATAAATGTATTATATTTATATAGAAAATAATACAAGGAAATTTCTATCTTAATTTTTCCTTCTCTTTTTTTTTTTTGTTTTTATTTTATTTTGTATGATTGCGCTTAAGAAATGGCTTTTTCTTTTATTGAATTTTCTAAATTGAAATTGCTGAATTTAGTTATGATTATAAAAAATTTTAATTTTTGGGATATTTTCGTAATAATGGGAAATTTTCAGGAAAAAAAAATAAATTACAAAATAATTTTTTCTTATTATAAAATTGGAAATTTATTTTTTTTTTTATGGGCTCTAATTTTTTTTCCGAAAGTTTATTTGTTTTATTTTTGAAATTATTTTTATCGCATATGTGCGTTTATATTATGAATTTGTTTTTCGTTTTCAATTCTATTTTTTTATTTTATTTTATTTCGAAAAAAAAAAAATTTTAGTTTACAATAAAGTGCTTCCGAAATAAAAATATGTTCTATTTTTTTCTTGCATATTTTAAGGAACTTTATTTACTTGTTTTTTTTTTTTTTGTTATTGATTATTAAACAATTTCTTTTTTTTTTTTTTTCAAAATTAATTTAAATAAAAATGAATTTTTAATATGTTTGCTCCAAAAAGAAAATGAAATAAAATTTTTTTCTTTAAGAATTAATTCTGGTTTTGTGTAATAATTTCTTATAAACGCACTAATTTTTTAACACTAAGCATAAAAGTGGTATTTACATATATATTAGTAAATTATTGTTTTTTTTAATTAATTTTGATTATAGAGCTCGTTTTATATTATAAATATTTTTATTTTTAAAAATTTATTATTTATATTTTTCGTTTTTATTTCTTTTCTCTTTTTCAAATCAATTTTTAACATATAAATTTTGTAACACTATTTTATATATTAAATATATGAAAGGATATGGGGTCTATTGTGTTAATTGATTGCTAGCCGGCAACATTATATGGAACGACAGAATTTATAAAAATTACAAGTCGATTAGATTTTAATTTTAGAAAATTTTTCAACATTTTTTCTTTAATTTTTGAATCTTTTTTGTTTTTGTTTTATTACTCTTGTTCGTTCCAGTGTTAGTTTCCGTTCTGGTTAAATTACCATAACTTTTAATAATAAAATACAGCAAAAAAATAAAAAACAAAAATAAAATTTCACTTGTTCTTAAATGCACTCTTTCTTTTCATTTTTTTTTTTTTGTTTTTTTAATATGTTTGAAAAAATAATCACATGAAATATTTTTTTTTTTTAATTAAAAAATCTATAATTAATTACTGTAAAAAAAAAAAAAAAATAAATAAATTATGAAGCACAAAATATTTTTTTAGAAATCTCTCCTTAATTGTAAAAAATATTTTTTTTAAAAAGGAAATATTTTTTTTTTTTTTGTGTTTAGCTGATTTTATGACTCGTTGAGCTGACGGCTATATACACTATAATAGTTATTATTACTATGATTTCCAATATATATATATATATATATAAATGTGTTTATCAATCATATATATATATAGATATATATATTTCAGAGTTATAGGACGTGGGGGTAGGTCATATAAATTGTTTTTTTATTCTTCTTTCAGTTTTTGTTTTATTAATTTAATTTTGAATAACCAAAATTATTTAATTTTATTCAATTTCTCTTATTATTATTGAATATTTAATTTTTTAATTTAATAATATAAATTGAATTATTGAAATTATCTGGTAATAATAACAATGATGATGATGATGATTTATTGTAAATATTTTTTGAAATTTTTTTTTATTTTAATAAATTTTAATAAAGTTTCATACATTTTGGAAATTTTGAGAGTATTTTAATAATTGTTTTCATTTTTAATATTTTTAATGAAAAGTATAATAAATTGTAATTAAAAATTTTCTTTTTTGAATAATTTTTATATTTTCTGAATTTTCTTTGAATGATCCTTTTAACAATATTATTTAATATATTATATATTTCACTTGAATTATTGAATATATTATTTTAATTATAAATTCCAAAATTTTTATAATACAATAAATTTATAAATAAGCTTTTGTATTACAATACACATTATTCACAATAATTGAAAATCCTTTAAAATCCTGATTTTTTAGGCAATATAATAAGGCCATTTTGGCCATTTGGCGGCTTTAATCCTTTTTGATTTTTTCTTCTTCTTTTTCTTATATTTCTGTTACGGTTAATAATTTCTCATTCGTATATAATAATGGTAAAGAAAAATTTTTCAGTAATTTTTAATTGTGTGTTTTTTTTTTTTATGTTATAATTCTATCCTTGTAGAATTTAGGTGTAAATTGTTTTTAGTTTTCTTGAATCATTTTTTTAATTTTGTGCTCATTTGAAAATATTTATTAAAATTATATTGATTAGAAAAGAAAAAAACAATGATGTTATATTAGTGCACTCTTCAAAAATTTTTTAAATAGAATTGAGAATATTTTTTTTAAATTTTCGGTTTTTTTTTTTGGATTCTTATGCAAAATTTTGTATATTTCATTCCCTTTTTTTGTATTCATTTGAATTTGAATTTTCTGAAAATATTTTTCACATCACTTTTATAGATTTTTCTATATTATATTTTTTTTTTGTTTTGCTTCCTTTTTTTTTTCTTTAATATATTTATAAATTATTGCTTTTATCCTGCTTTAGGCCACAAGAAATTTTTATTTTCTTTTTTCATATTATATACACATAGTTTATTCATTTATTTAATGTTTTTTTTTTATATATTGTATATACGTTCATATATAAATGTTCTTATTCATGAAATAAAATCATAATGAGATTTGACTGCAATTAATAAAATGAAATGAAATGAAAAAAAAAAAAAAAATTAAATAAATTTTTTTTTTTTTTAAATATTTTTAATAAATATTTGTTTTTTTTTTTTTGGAAAAAGAAAAAAAAAATTAATTTTATATAAGAAAATTTATTGTATTTATTAATTTTTTCTTATATAAATTTATATTTAATTTTTTATACACTCTTATATATATATTTTTATATTTTCTCTTAATTGGTTTTTTTTTTTTTTGTAAAATTTTCAATATAGTTTTGTTGTTATACTTTATTTTTTTTTTTACTGTAATTTTTAATTTTGTTCTATTTATTTTATTCCTTACATTTATTTTATTTTTTTTTATTTTCTTTTTTATTTTTACTTTTATTTTATTTTTTCTTTCTAGTATGGTTGATTTTTTTAACCGTTATACTGTTAAATTTCTGTATCGCCTCACTGAAGAGATGAAACGCGAATGAATTTTTTTTTTTGTTTCTACACAAAATAACTTGGCAAGGATCTCTCCCGACACAAAAGCAAAAATAATTAAAAAAAGAAAAAACAAAAATAAAATCTTATTCTTATATAGAATACAAGAAAAAAAAAAAAAACATTTTCTTTTTTCATTTTAAATGAAATAAAACCAATGTAACATTAATGAATATAAATAGTACTTGTAGTAGTAAAAATAGTAGGAAAAGCTAACAGAAAAAAAAAAAAAATAATAAAATTTTCAACTAAATTGAGAAACAAAACTCACAAATACATGGATGTAAAATATTTCAAATATATTATGTGTATTTTATATTCTTTTTATAATATAATATTTATTTATAATCTGGCAATACCTTTTAAACATATACATTTACAAAATGCAAATAATAACAATAATATTATTATTTTCGTGTATGTATCTATAATAAAATACAAGTTTATATTAGTATTAAATTTTTTTAAAAGTAGTAGACAACTTACTGAAAGGAAGAGAAGTCATTGAGAGTGAAAGAGTATATTCACATATATATATATATATATGAGTGTGTGTATATATAATGCGTATATTACATGCATAAAAATGCACCCATACATATCTAGTAATATTTATATTACGAATAATAATGGGTTGTATTCAACAACATGTAGAATTTTTGTTTTTTTTTTGCCATTTTCTTTGAATTTCATATAAAAAGCTTTTTTTTTCGTTTAATGCTCTCGTCATTAAATTTTTTTTTGTTTGCTTTTCATTCTCAATGATATTGGTAGAAAAAAAATAATTGTGAGAAATAAGCTTTTCTCTTACCATTAGTAATAATTATTTTTTAATTTTTATTGTTATTATTGTTTTTTTTCCAAAAACAAAAAAAAAAAACAAAAAAATTTTTAGAGTATTGGAATTTTTTTATTTTTAGTTTTTTGAATTAAATTTTTTGTTTTTTTGTTTTTTTGTTTTTTTTTTTCTGTTGTTTATTTTTTGACCGATTCAAATTCTGTCTTCGTTATAAATAAAACATCAAGGATATTTTTGGTACACATAAAAGAAAATTTTTATGGTTATAGAATTTAATTTTGTAAATTCAAGAATTAAAAATATAAAAATATACATTTTATTGTCATTATTATTATATGTATATGTGTGTGTATGTACATAACGTTGTTGTGCATATTGTATTTTTATGTGTACTTAAATCGAAATAAATATATATATATATATATATATATATAATTTATTATTTATTATCCAAGGATAATACATTCCATTTTTTTTTTGCAAATTTTTATATATTTCGTTTTTTGTTCTGTTTTCTTGATTTTTCTTAATTATTTACAAGTAATTATTATTGTGATTGAAAAAATTTTAAGTTGCAATAATTAAATTAGATAGATTATTATTAGAATTTTTTTTTTTAAACAAGGTAAGTACACAAGGTAAGTAAAATATACAATATCAAATATTTTAATAATGATAAAAAAATATTGAATTGAAAATAAAATAAATTAAATTAAATAAATATTCTCTATTACTTGTGAATAAACTTGAAAATAATTAAAATTTTAAAAGAAATAATAAAATTCATGAATTTTACTTTTTCATCCTGTATTTAAATGAAAAAAAAAAAAGAAATTATAATAAACAAGTTATTTGATGCAATATTATAGACTTGTGCACATATTATTATATTAAATGTATAACAGTCACAAATAATTTTATATTTTATATATAATAATATATAGTTATATATATTGTATATATATCTTTTTCATAATATTCCAGAATATTGTACTTATATCATTAATATATTTTTATATATTACGCAAAAAAAAAAAATAAAAAAAAACAAAACGAAAAATCTGACTACTGAAGAAAATTTATATATATATATATATATATATATGTATGCAAAGTAAAAAATATCTGAGAGAATTTCAAGCTTGATAAAAGAAAAAAGCTTCAACGAGGTATGAGAAATATAATTTTTATTTACACTATATTGAGTACAATATACGTAATAAAAAAAAATTCTCTCTCAAAATATTATACACACTCTAAAGAGAGACAAAATTTTTTATACTTTTGATTCATATATTATATAGATTCTTTCTATATGTATAAATGATTGTTTGAGCGCAAGACAAAAATTTCCGGCTAACGGATATGATGAATAAGAAAATACGAAAGAAAGAATAGAAAAAATGAAATAAGAAAAAAAAAAAAATTAATTTTTTCATCTCGAATATTTTTGTGTGTAGGAGATAAGAATTTTTTTTTCTTCATTTTTCTCAATTTCTTATTTTGATTTTTAATTTTTGCATTCTGTCCAAGGATGTAGTGGACAAAATGATTTTATTTTCTTTATTTTTAATATTAAAAATAATTTTTAAATTTTAATATATTTTTTTTTTTTACAATTTATTTAAAAATCACATTTTCTTTATTATTAAATTATTAATTTTCAATTTTTTTTTTAAACAAACATACTTTTTTAATCCATTTTATTATTCCACATTTCTAATGTTCTATTTATTTTGAACAATAAAACAAAAAAACAAAAAACAAATGTGATTTATATAAAATTTTGCCGTGCGAAAGCAAATTGTCAGTAAATTGGAGTTGCAAGAATGAACTAAAAACAAAAAACCAAACAACAACGAAAAAAAAAAGCAAGATTAAAGAAAATTTTTAATTTTTACTTTCTTCGTATTTGCTACAAATATTTTACTCTACAATTTTTCCTCTCATTTTTAAATATTATAATTTTTTTGTTTCGTTGCTTTTCGTAATATAAAAGAGAGAAATATTTTTTAATGAAAAGAAAAGAAAATTTTAGGTATATATATACTAGAACTATAAATGAAATTGAAATGGTATATAAGAAAAAAGAATTCGGATTTTATCCTTTAATTTTTCTCAATATTTTCATTATAAAATTTTCGTATATACACGAAAGTAAAAAAAGCAACAAAATAAAGGAAAAACAAAAAAAATCAGGATTTCGGAATTCATCCCACGTTTTTATATCGATGTATTGTCATTTTCCTTTTTTCTGTTTTTTTTTTTTGTTATTATGATAGATACTACATAGTTATATAGGTGGATTTTATTATCTACATTAAGTATTATGCGGCTTCAATTTTATTGATGTAAGTATTAAAAAAAAAAAAAAATTAAGTATAAAAAAATTGTTTAGTTTCGAAATTATTTATAAGTTTAATAAACATTAATTAAATATATAAATGTGAATTTTAACATTAAAAAATTAAAATATTTATTAAATAACAATTTAATTTAAAATAATAAATTTATTAAAATTTATAATTATTTTTAATACTCTAACTTGTAACAGTTTTTTAAGCCAATTTCGGTATTCTAGATGGTGCAGTACATTATTTTTTATAGTGTGATATTGTATGTGAAAATTTTATAATTCATAATAAAGCATCATCTATAGTTTGAATTATAATGTTTTTTTTTGGTTTCAGATATCGTAATAATAGAATTAGTAAAATATTATGAAAGAATATAATAATATTATTAAAATTGTTATAGCACAGTGTCAAAAATCTTAAAAGTAATCTATAAAAAATTATTTTATTTTTGTGCATTTGCAATTTGCCACATCACTTTATAGGATTCTGGATTCTACTGCAATGAAATTAAAATATCATTTTAGAATTAAATTGTATAAAATTTCGAACTATAATGTCTATTAAACTTTTTTTTTTGTTTTTTGCAATTTTTCAATATTATTTGTACCTACATATATAAATTATCTATAGAATGGAAAATATTGTATGTATTACATGAAATTTAATTTGAAAATAGGAAAAATTCCAAACAAAAAAATTTAAAATATTAATAAAGAAAAATATTTTTTATTATTACTATTTATTATAGGTTAAAAAAAAAGGACGATAAAACTGCAATTTTATTATAAACAAAAAAAAAATCAAAAAATACACAAAAATTTTTAAGTAAAATTATGAATAACCAGAAATAAATATGAAAATATAATAAGGGATGCACATGCACATACATTCATATATATACATTAATATAGAAAATTTTAAAATACATGGGCAATTTTTATTATATTTGGTCTTATTTAACATTTAGTTTTTAAGAATGATTTAAATAAAAAAAAAATTTCATTTTTGTTACTTTTTCTCTTCTTTTTTTTTTTTTTTTGTTAATAAAAATAATATTATGAATATTTTTGGAAAATAAAAAATAAACATACAATATATGTATATATGTATGTATGTATAAAATATAAATTTTATACACAAGGGTATGTTTATCTTCTAAATTTATACAAGGAAAATTTATCTTTGGTAGCATAAACAGATATATATATATATATATATATATATATGTATATACATATATATTTACCTTTGTTTTGTTCTTCAAAAACTTCAAGTTCTCTTACACTACACACTTAAAGGGAAAAAAAAAAAAAAACCAGAAAAAAATAATGAAAACAGAAATAATAATGAAATGTAATATAAAATATAAAAATAAAGTATACATAAAAAAAAAAAAAAGAATAAAAAATAAAATAAGATAAATAAATAATTGTATATTTCACGCTCGTCCTTGATCCTTTCTAATGACGTCAGAGTTTTGTTATCTTATTAGGATTTGATCCTTATTTTTGTATTTTGTTCTTTTTATTTTTTTATTCATACATTTATTATTATATATATTATATTTAATTCTATATATATATATATTACTAATTTTATTCTAATAATTCGTAATCACACACACACACATACATTTATTTTTTATATATATGTATACATTATATTATGTACCTAATTATAATTATATTACTTTTAATAATTTTTAAGTCGAGATTCGTTCACTTATTAATGAGAGCCTACAAAAAAAAAAAAAAATAAAATTCTTATTTAGTAATAGAAAAAAATATAATAAAAATACGGACGGGACCCGATTCGGAA